TCAAAAAAAAAAAAAGTATATTGAGCAAATTGTGTTTTTGTAGGTTCTCTTTCTCTCTTTCTGTCTCTCTCTCTCTCTCTCTCTCTCTCTATATATATATATATATATACACACACAGATATATGTTATGTCCTACTTATGAATCAAAAAAGTAAATTTCAAAAAATATTGTTTTCCTTTTCCTGGAAGTTCATCCTCACAAAAAAAAATCGGTTTTTCTACATTTTCTAAACTGTATTTAAAATAAATTAAAATTTTCTAACCTTTTATCTCCTATTATTACTTGACAAACTCAGAACAAAGAGAAAATACACATCAAAAGCTTTGCTATTTATAATAGCTAAACTCAGAGTCATAGAGCATTGACTTTGATCTTGAATCCACAATGACTGACCATTTCAGGCGTTTCAAGTCCTACATACTGCTCTATAATACAACTTGCAAACATCCTTTTCCTAAGAACAATACTTTTTCTTTGTTCAGTTATCCTTAAAGGATTATATCAAGCTCACAATCCACACATACACACACACAATTAAATTCAAAATTTCCAATAGTGTAGAAGCAACAGGCAAAGTCAATAATCAAGCTGATGTTTTGCTGGGTATCATTTATCACATTAAAAATGGGACCTGGGTGCCCTTGGATTATAATATAGAGCTTTTTGTATCTGGGTATTTAGGGTGGGTCAGAATGCACAGCTTTTGGGGCTGGCGCCGTGGTGCAGGGGGTTAAAGCCCTGGCCGGAAGTGCCGACAGCCCATATGGGAGTCGGTTCAAGTCCAGGCTGCTCCACTTCCAATGCAGCTCTCTGCTATGGCCTGAGAAAGCAGTAGAAGATGGCCCAACTCTTTGGGCTCCTGCACCCATGTGGGAAACCCAGAAGAATTTCTTGGCTCCTGGCTTTGGATTGGCACAGCTCTGGCTGCTGCAGCTATGTGGGGAGTGAGCCAGCAGATGGAAGATCTCTCTCTGTCTTTACCTCTCTCTGTAACTCTGATTTTCAAATAAATAAAATGAATCTTAAAAAAAAATAATGCACAGCTTTGAATGGCAAGCTATTTACAAGATTCAAATGAGAAAACAGCAGAATAAAAAAGAAAATTTACTCTTACAACCAGTATCTTTGAGACACTGACAACTTACTAGACTTTGTGTTTTTTTCTAAGGAAAAAAAATAAGCAACTTTTGCAGCTCATGTTAATCTGAAACAAAATAATATAAATGAATAAATAAGGACATTAAATAAATATAATATTGGATCAACAACTGCAATATACTAGAAGGTAAAATTAATGAATGAAACTAGACTCAAGTTGTTCACAGCAAGGTGCTGTAATGCAGGGTAATGTGTAGGACTTGAAAAGTACAGATGTTAGTGATTCAAGATCAATCTAAATTAGTCAAAGGAGACGGGATACCAGCTTAAGATTAATTTGTAAGTGACATGAAGAACAGATTTAGTGTAAAAACTAAATGGATAGCTGATTGTGATTATGCACATGTGAACTGATGGTTGTGTCAGTTGCAACTACAATTTGGTGAGATATGAGATATTTATAATAGCATATTTCTAATTTTGTATACAAATGAAATTCACAGTTCTTTTTTTTTCAATTTTAATTTTTTTTGACAGGCAGATTTAGACAGTGAGAGAGAGGGTGAGATAGAGAGAAAGGTCTTCCTTTCCATTGGTTCAACCCCTAAATGGCTGCTAAGGCTGGCACGCTGAGCCAATCCGAAGCCAGAAACCAGGTGATTCCTCCTGGTCTCCCATGCGGGTGCAGGGCCCAAGCACTTGGGCCATCCTCCACTGCCTTCCCAGGCCACAGCAGAGAGCTGGACTGGAAGAGGAGCAACTGGGACAGAATCCAGCGCCCCAACTGGGACTAGACCCGGGGTGCAGGTGCCACAGGCAGAGGATTAGCCAAGTGAGCCTCGGCACCGGCCAGTTCTTCCTTTTTTAACCCGATAAAGTAACAACTCTTTTCATATGTCCTTAATTTAAACTTGATTACTATCTGAAGTTCAGTAATCATCAGACAGCATGCTACAACATAACTAGGTAAAGTACAACATTCTATTTCCTGTGGTCTGTTTGCTCAAGGATTAAAATAATGTGCTGTAGGGTAAATGTCTGACTCATTTTTTTCAGATTCCATGATAGAGAAGCAATGTTTCATGACCACGCTTACAGAATTAGATTCATCTCTTCCAGGAATCAACCAACACTTCATTCATCTCATTTGTTATCTGATATTTGCTCAGTTGTCCATTATGTGCCAAGCACTCTGCTCAACTCTCAAGGAAACAAGATATGGTCCCTGTCTTCTATTAGCTACGATAATTCACACTGGAGATGAAAAAAATAAATTAAACTGTAAAGCAATCTATGAAAGGTGCAAACCAAGATCAATGATTATTGCTTTGGGTGGGAAGATAGTATTAGATGGGACTTTTTTTTAGGAGAGAAATGAATTAGGAAGCACTGGCATTGTGGCACAGGGGGTTAAGCTACTGTTTCAGATGCCGACATCCCATATGAGGGTTCCAATATGCATCTGGACATCTCCACTTCTCATCAAGGTTCTTGCTAATGTACCTGTAGAGCAGCAGGTATTGGGCCTTGCCACCTCCATGGGAAACAAGGGTGGATTTCCTGGTTTTGGCCTGACCAGTTCTGGACATTGTGGCCATTTGTGGAGTGAATGAATAAATGGAAGATTCTCTCTCTCTCCCTTTCTCTCTGTCTATCAAATGTAAAAATAAGCCTTTTTTTTAAAAAAAAAGATATAAATTAGGAGATGAAGAAATAAATTAGAAGATGGCATTTAAATTATGTTCCCCAAAAAGAAAACACAGTATGTTAGGAAGACAACGGTTTGAGAAAAAAGTTTACTCTTTATGTCACTGAAAACCATATTGAAAAGTGGAAGAAGGTATGATAAAGTTCTGAAGTAAAGGTCTAGTTCAGGTAACACAAACTCTTGTAGATTGTTATCATACAGTCCACTATTTTTTTAATGAAGACTTCTAGTAAATTTTCTTGGCATAATAATTAATAATGTCTCTTTTTAGGCTCAGAGATGTAATGATTTGGAGGAAAGTGATATGATTGCTTGATGTGTAAGACATGTATGATATGTAGTTTGAAATGTGTCTGACATAGAATAGAAGTCACTGAAGGTTTCAATATAACTTTTAAAAGGATTACTGAAGGAAATGTGAGCAGAGCGTGAATAGCAGAGATCAACAGACAATTGAGTAGGAGTAAGTTGACCAAAGAAGAGATAATGGTGATTTGGACTAGGAAAATAATAGTAAATATAGAAGACAGCTGGATATATTTAAAATACAACTTAAAGGCAGAATTTAAAGGCCTTGTGGAAGTGAATGTGAAGAAATAGACTAAACTATTCAACATACTTTGTTAAGGCTTATGATATCTGTTTGAAATGCATATTTCCTTATTAAATCATAAAAAGATGTGCTGATAAGAAGTGATCTGGCCATGAGTATGCCCATAGAAGTAGAACAGGAAAGTGGAGACCTGCGTGTGTCCTCAAAGTGGACCCACAGTCCTTCCTCAGAGTTTGTTTTTTTTCTCAGCATCTGACAAATGAGCAATGAGCAGGGCCTAAAACCCAGTACAGGACACCAGAGAATAATTTAAATATGAAGAAGGTTTAATGAACAAAAGCATTGTGTGTTCTTTTCATTACAGAGATAGGGGAAAACATTTTAATTAAACAGTTCATTTTTCTTTGCACTGTTCTCTTTCTTCCCTAGTGAACAAAGAGTTTTACTGATGTTTCATCTGCTCTGCTCATTTGATTTTCCTTCATGCATGGTGAAGCAGCCGTTTACAATTTCTTAGTCATAATTTTTTCAGGTGACTGGTTTCACAAGGAGTGCATTTGTTTTTGTTATGCCACATGCCCAGTTTTCTTACACAGTGTTTGGCAAATGTTGGCTGGTACTTACCAGGTGTGTGTTTGTAGCATCTTCCGTTATTTATATGGCCTCTTAATTTAGGAAATATTTTTATTAAAAATGCATATGCAAGAAAAGTGGTTTTCTGCACTGATAAATGAAAACATGCTTTTCACAAACTGAGAAGAAAGATGTTTAAAGGAAGTTTTGTTTTAACTAAGAATAACCATAAATGATCTATCACACTTTGATACTTAAGTTCTTTGGAGCATAAATAGAGAAATAAGGTTATGATTCCAAACCTTAGATACTTTTTGGCAATGAATTTTGTGATGTGGCTAATATGAATAGATACTTTAAAACTGAATTTACAGCTATGTCAAAGAATGTGCTGTTTGTAATGCTGCACACAGATAAGGGAAAGCACACCAACACATGTGAAACTGCAGTGTCATGTTTACTGAGTCGTCTACATAATTGCAGCCAGGACCAAATCATAAAAGAACCAAGCTACATTTGTAAAAACTATTTCATGGCACTGTTCCGAAAGCATTATGTCATCTAAGTTTACCTTATACTTACAGCAGGAATTACCTTAGTTGGGGTTTGTATTCAATTCCACATCTATATTTCATATCAAGAAAAAAGAAACTTGATATCTTAAGTATAAGGCTGCCTAAGCTGCAGCAAGCCCAGCATTTTGTGGTTTGGGTTGTGCTTCTCACTCAGGACTGAATGCTAGAATTAGCGAGAAAGGATGTGCCGTGGACTTATCACTCAGGATACAGTGAAATACAGGGGAGTTCAACTACTGAATATGTTCTCTGAAGTTAGTTCACCTTGTCTGAACCCACACTGCTTCATACAACTCATTAGTTAAATTCATAGCTCTTTGATTTCTTAATCTGAAAAATGAGTACCATGTAGCACTGGCTAAAGGACCTTTGTGCTTTGACTCTTTACATAGTGATCCTTAACCCTAGATTACAGATAACTTAGCGTACAGATAAGCAAACACATTGCAACCTAACTGTGAGTGTATTCTTGTGACAAGTAACTGACTCAGCTGATGGTAGTAGCTAACTTTCACAAGTTGCCAACTATATCCAAACAAAGAAAATATTGAATAGCCAATGAAACTATTTCTGGAAGTCACTTTCATTTTCTGGATGTGAATACTCAGTGAGTATGTTGTGACGTGGAGCTCTGCTAACCTCGTTTGGTCCTGCATATTGCCCAATTCATGAATCATTTTTTGCTCACTTAAAATTCGTTCAATGTTTTATGTTGGCTCTTTTTTTAAAAAAAAATCTGTTTATTTGTGAGACAGAAATGAGAGAGAGAGAGAGAGAGACAGAGACAGAGAGAGAGAGAGAGAGAGAGAGAGAAAACCCCCATCTACTAGTTTACGCTCCAATTGCCCGGGAAAGCTATGGCTGGATCAAGACTGAAGCTGATGGCCAGGGACTGTGGTAAGAACCAATTATTATTTTAACTATTTCTTCAATTCTTTATTTAGTGGCTTATCAAGTTTGTGACTATAAAGTAAATTGCAAAAAAATAAGAAGGAAAGGAGAAGGGAGGTAGGGACAGTGGAAATATCTTTATGTTCTTAAAACTGCAAATAGGAAATACATGAAACCTGGTTTTTATATAAATAATAAAAAGGAACTCAATAAAAAGGAACTGAACCATTATACTGCCTCCTCTCAGGGTCTAGAACATTAGGAAGCTGGAGCCAGTAGTCAAAGACAGGCATAAAACTCAGGTACTCCAAAATGGGATGTGGCACCTTATTATCATCACATTTGGTAGGTCAGAAGACTAACATACAATTTGAGTGGGCTAAAATCAGAGTGCTGGCATGGATGTGTACTTGTTTTTATAAATTATTGTTGGGATCTCATTTCCAGGCATTTTTAAGCTTTCAAAAATCCATGTTTTCCATTTTCAAACCAATAATTTTTAAACATCTATGCATTTATTTATTATACATATCTATCTCTCTCTCTGTTTATCTTTAAGACTCTTTGTGATTCTACTGTGTCTGCATGTATGATTCCAGATCATCTTTCGCCCCCATTTAAATCAGATGACTAGCAACCTTAATTTCATATTCAATCTGAATACCCCTTTGCTATGCAATGTAACATATGCACTAGTTCTGGATATTAAACCGTGAACACCTTTGGAGAGCCATCATTCCTTTTACTCACTTCTAAGAAAGGACAGGGCTTGGCATCCTAGGTGAATTTTCAAAACTTAGAAGGCACAGCATTTTATTTTAATAGATCACACTGTAAATCCAAAAGGCATTTTGTGAAACTTTGAATGTCTATCCCTGATATCCAAAAGTATGCCTCACTTAGAGTCTGATTGAAATTCTTACAGAGGCTACAAAATATGAGAGGTTCTCTTAAGATTTTATTATCTTATCTACTTTATAAAATTTCCTACAGTTTCAGAGTTCATTGACTTAGGTATGTGTAATAAATTACACTGTCTTTATTAGTAGATTCTGGTATTTTGTTGACCTCATATAACCTTCATTTAAATAATCTCTCTAGGTATTATTCAGAGTGGGGAGAGAGATAGTTACAGGGGCATTGCTTACAACAAATTTCAACACATAGTTTGCTAATAAAAAACAATCATCTGCTTGAATAAAATTTAAAATGGTGTATATCATAACTAACATAAATGTAAATCAAAACTCCACAATAGGATGATATGCAGTACATAAAAGCACTGAGATAGTGATGTATTCATTGAAGTGAAAAGTGAATGAATTTATTTCCTATTGAAGATTAGACTGAATTTTAGTGAGACATTCCTGTCCTTGTCCAACTCCTACTATTGTCTTGTTTTATTTCAATAATAATGATTGACTCCATTTTGTTTTACAAGTGTTTCTGCTCCTCAACTTTAAAAATTTTACTTTTTGACCTCACCATGGACATTGTTTATTATATCCATACTTAAAAGGCCTACCACACATCATATGTAAAAATTAACTCAGATTGATTAAAATTCTACATGTAAAGAGTGAAAAGTATAAAATTCTTAGAGTTAAATAAAAGCTAATAATATATCTTAATTGAATAGTTTCATTAAAGTAAATGAAAGTAGAAGAAATGCTTCTGTTGTTTTATGTGATGTTACAGACTGAATTTTGTCTCCACAAAATTCATATATTGAAATCCTAACTGCCAATCTGAATATATTTGGAGGTAAAGGTAAATGAGACTGTAAGGGTCAGATTATAATCCAATAGGATGGTGGCTTTATAAGAGAGGAGAGAGAAAAAATTACCTCTCTCCATTAACAAATATCAAAGTATCAGAGAAAGACTATGAGTATAGGCACAGTGAGAAAGCACTGTCTCCAAACCAGTAAGAGTGCCCCACCATTCCTGATCAGACCAACACACTGAATTTGGATGTCAGTCTCCAGATAATATAAACAAATAAATTTCTCTTCTTCTTAACCTATGATGTATAGTATTTCTTATGAGAACCTGAGATAACTAATATATTTAGAGTATAACAAAATTCAAATAATAGCACATATTGCATTTTTATGTACAATTTATATACATCAGATTATATGTAGTATGTGTAAATGTTTAGTAAATAAATATAAAGGAAGTTAAAATTTCAAGGCAATATAAAAACATATGCCAAGATAAATAATGGAAACATGTCTTGAGTTTTCTTCTGTGTAATATAAATTTAAGTAAAAAAAAAAAAAGCACCATGGAGACAAAATACATCATGTCTTAATGGAAAAAGTTGTAACAAATCAGTAATTCATAAGTTATAATTGTGTTTATACTAACCAATAAAAATAACAATGTGTTACAACTGATTAGGAAGAAATAAGCATCTCCAAATCCTAGTGGACGACATTTTATCACAAGTAGTAAAACATTTAATTAGGCTGTAGAAGATCTGAACCACAAAAAGAATAAACTCGTTCTAATTGTTATATGCATAGTAGTGCAGAACTACAGAAAGCAAGTCTTTTTCTTTTTTTTTAAATTTTTTGACAGGCAGAGTGGACAGTGAGAGAGAGACAGATCGAAAGGTCTTCCTTTGCTGTTGGTTCACCCTCCAATGGCCGCCGCGGCTGGTGCACCGCGGCCGGCACACTGCGCTGATCCGATGGCAGGAGCCAGGTGCTTCTCCTGGTCTCCCATGGGGTGCAGGGCCCAAGCACTTGGGCCATCCTGCACTGCACTCCCTGGCCACAGCAGAGAGCTGGCCTGGAAGAGGGGCAACTGGGACAGAATCTGGGGCCCCGACCGGGACTAGAACCCTGTGTGCCGGCGCCGCTAGGTGGAGGATTAGCCTAGTGAGCAGCGGTACCCGCCAGCAAGTCTTTTTAATCACCAGTAACACAATTAGAAAAGTTGACATACCTTCTTCCATGTAGCGTATTTCAACATTTTGTAATGTTTTATGTCAGAGTCTATTCTCTGAAATGCAATAAATGTAAAAGTAAATCTGATTGTAGAAAGTTTCCATGTGGGTGCTAGTTAAGTAAAATACTTCTAAAAGAGCAGAGACAAGTAAATCATAGTGAAATTTAGTGGATATTGTGAACTGAGCCAATAAGGAAAATATAACAAAATATATCACATCAAGCTTTTGTACTACTTCATTATTAAAAAAATTAGAAAATAATATTGAAAAATTATTATTTAACTCATATAAGAAAAAGAATTACTGAGTCAAATACAATGCAAAATATGGTATTTAGTTCAAAATTGGAGTAAAGAGGATCAACAACCAAGCAGATATTTAAAAATGCAAAGCTGTTTTATTCACTGATGATTTGAAAGGGTAAATTGAAAATACAATAATTAGTATTAGGAATTCTTTAAATATCTGCTACAAATTCTTTAAATATCTGCTACAAAAACATCAGTCAAACAATTTGTATGGTGTATTAGAAAACATATTAAAATAAAATAAATATATATTAGTACCAAATATGATGTGTCACATAATAAAACGTGTAAAGTATCTTCAAAACTTTTATAAAAACATTATAAATCTTTCTCTGAAGAAATACAATATAAGAGGAAAATATACCATATAAAGAATTGAGGAAATCATTGTATTAATATGCAAGTCCTCCTCCACTGGGTTAATAAGTTCCACACCATCTCTATCAAAATTCTAAAATGTTTTGCTTTTTAGAAGAACCCAGAAGGGTAAAGGTTGTAGTAGCAAGTTAAGCCATTGTTTGGCATACCTGAATTCCAGATGGAATGCCTGGGATTGAATGTTACCTCTTCTTCCAATACAGTTTCCTGCTAATTCACCCTGAGAGGTATCACATGATGACTACAGTACCTAGGCCTTTGTCATCCACATGGAAGACACCTTGGAGATCCTGGCTCCTGGCTTTTGCTGGTCTCAGCCTCAACTTTAATAGGAGTTTTGGGGAAGGAACCAGCAAAAGGAAGATCTCTGTTTCTCTATTTATAAAATAAAGAAATATACTTTAAATGTAGATTAAAAATCTTGGTATTATAACTCTAAAATACATATGAAAACACATCTTATCTAAAACAGACAATGCATTTTTGAAAAAGAAAATGAAGTGGAGAATTATTCTTTTATGTAAGAAAATTCAACTGTAATACACTGTCCTATGGTATTGGAAGAGGGAATGTGAAAAAGACAGATCGTTTAATATAGTATATGATTCCAGAAATAGATTGAAGCTCATAGATATGGATAATGCATATCAGATGTGACCTTATAAATGATAAAGAAAAAATTTAAATTGGAAATGGCACAAGGAGAATATGGCATGATGATGATGCTCTGTATTCGACCATGGTGATGCTTACTCAGTCATTTGGCTTACTCATTTATTTGCTATAAACCATTCATTAAATTGCATTTATGTTTGGTGAACTTTTCTGAATATGGCTTTCAAAACAAGACAGGGAATAAGAAAACATAAAGAAATATTTCTACAAGTATATAGAAAACATTCAACTAGTATTTTTAAATTAAAATGTAAGATATATTAGGATAGTTTACTTTTGTGTTTCTAAGATTGAGCATGTGTACAAAACATAAATTTTACATGCATATGAAATATCCTTCTTTCTGAAGTCTAACTTTCAAAAGAGTAAACTCAAAATAAAAGCAAAAACCAAATTAAACTACAAATAGACAAGCTTATTTTTTCAAATCTATATTTTACTCATTGCCATGGTTTCCTCTAATTGATTTTAGGTCCTCATTATTTTCTGCCTACACTGGGATAGAATCTTTTATAATGCAATATTGTATAACAATATCTTTCTACCATCTCATTAAATCTAACCTTGACCTTCTCACATTCATAATATTGCAGGCATTTTGATATACCAACAGAACAGAAAGGGTAATAGCTTACATTTGAGTTGAGTTTATTATAGGAAAATCACTGCAATCCCCAGTTGGCTTCT